AACATGGACCGTTCCATTGCCCTCTGTGTTGTTCGAATTTTGTTTGCGGACGTCTTAGTAAGTGTTAGCGTCTCCGCACCATAGGTTAGAACTGGCAGCACACATTGATCGAAGACTTTTCTCTTCAAGCAGATGGGAAGGGCTGATTGGAAAACATCTCTTAGCTTTCCATAAGCTGCCCATGTCAACCCTATTCTACGTATTAGTTCATTGGTCTGGTTATCTCTACTTAAGCGAATTTCGTGTCCCAGATATTTGTATGTTGATGTTTGTTCTATACTTGTTCCAGCTATGTTGATGTTCTCACTCAGAACAAGGTTTGTCATCACTTGTGTTTTTGAGTTATTGATCTTTAAACCCACTTGTGTAGAGGCATGGTAGAGTCTTTCGCACATTTCGATGGCATGATCTATGCGGTCTGTTATCAGGACTATATCGTCCGCGAACCTGAGGCGACTAAGCTGCTCTCCATTTATGTTTATGCCCTTTTCGTCTAGGTTTGCTATTAGTCCACTTTTTTTCAAGGTTCTTGAACTCCTAAGTGGAGCATAGAGCTTCAGTGAAAACGCGGCATCGGGTTCTATTTTGTGCTAAGGCCTTCACCTCATTCCAAGACTTTCCTTGGCCTCTTATCTCGTCCATGATGGATCCTCTCCAAGTTTGTACTGGGCGACCTCTTTTTCTTTTCCCTTGGGGATTCCACTCTAGGGCAGTCTTTGCGATACTGGAACTATTTTTTCGGAGTGTGTGGCCGATCCAACCCCACTTTCTGGACTTAATTTCATTTTGTGTCCTCTTTTGTTCGGTCAGGTGAGCAGATCTTCGTTTCTGATGGTGTTAGGCCAGAATATACAGAGAATTCTCCGTAGACATTTGTTAACAAAGACCTGCAGTTTGTCTTTGAGGGTGTTTATCACTTTACAGGTTTCACATCCGTAGAGTAGAACAGACATGATATTTTATCGGAATATTCGGATCTTTGTCCTTGTAGTATACTCGCCAGATCTCTAAACAGGGTTGAGCGTGCTGAAAGCTTGTTGGGTTTTTCGTATCCTCATACGAATATCGTCTTCTGTACCTCCGTTTTCTGTTATGACACTTCCAAGATACGTAAAGTTTTCCACATTTTCAATCTGCATATTGTCGATAGTAAATAGACGTACGAAATAACCAATGAAAATCGCTTCTAGATCAACCATATAAAAGCTGATACGAAGGTTGGACATTCACATAAGTACTATTAGCAGAAAAACAGAAAAAGTAATGATCTAAGAACTTGATGCTCTCGGTTGTCGTCAGATCCAACAAAGAACGATTACTAATCGGCATAATACAGGATATTATTTTCAAATGGTATCAGGTTCTTCTTCCCATGGCGCCATCTCCTTTCCAAGGTTGGCGATCCAAATGGCAATTGTAGTTTTGGAAACTGTTCCGTGAAAGATTTCTGCGGATGAGCGGTCGAACCACCTCCTCAGGTCTTTCAGCTATGAGTTCTAGCGTCTTCCTACTGATCTTTTGCCCTGTACTTTTCCTTCCAGTATAACTTGAAGTAATTCATATCTTTCGCCTCTCAACACATGACCCAAGTATTGCATTTTCCTCTCTTTGATTACTCTTAGTAATTCTTTTTGTTTACACATGGGACTAAGTACCTCAACTAACATTAGTAACTCTTTGTTATGATATCAGGTTGGTGGTTACTTAATTTATAGTGTCTTGATCTGTTCAAATTGTATGATCTCTCTATCTTACAAAATGGTCCACGGAATTTTTCAATTGGACGCGATCGAATATTTTTATTACCTACGTAAATGACTATTTATATTTAAAACCTAAGGTCGTGATTGTTGACAAAAATGTTCATTGTATTTTAGCTATTATCAATTTGTATAGAAGGACAATTTAAAATTCGATAACTGCATTTCGTGTGGATAACTAACGAATAAAGAACCAAAACTTTTAAGATGATTTGTACTCGTAATTGGACCCCAAACGTTACTTCGAGTAAAAAAACACGAATCCAAAACGAAATAAATGTAATTGCGAATGCCGTTAGCCGGACATCATATTGTTTGAATTGAAACACTGCCAAATAAAACTATAAATCAATGAAGAACGGTTGTTTTGTTACGAGCACTGGTCGTCATCGTAGTCGTGTTAGTTTCGTTGTGTGGGAACCGAATTGTTTTGTGCATGTGATGCACTTTCCCGCTACACTTGCCAACCTGCCAATAATTTATTATCTCTCTTAATGAAATATGCACGACGCAAGCTATTTTCCTGCCTTCTGTATTATGACTCAATACGAGTGTGTTTAACTATAGAGGTAGTCCCACGTTTCGCTCGATAAAATGTGAGATTTGATATAAATCAACAAAACTTATATATGAAAGTAGAGATATCTGTCAGTATATCCATAATACAACACATTTAATATTGAATAAATTCAGGCGCCACTATAAACATATATCTTTTAAATATGCGATGGATTCGACCGTTACTTGATGGAAGTTCATTTTATCAAGCAATAAAATACTGAAAACTTTTGTTTTTAACACTTAAATTTTATTATATTTTAATAGAGCTGTATCGGCAGAGTGCCTTTCTCAAGTGAGCTATTTTTTGTGTTTTGTTGTCCTGTGTAAGTTTTTCACCTCTTCAGGACGTGGTTTATTTATTTTTTTGAAAGTTGGCTTTTGTCGTTGATTGGTTCCACTGGCGGTACGCTTCTTTACGTGTGTCTGCGGAAGAGGATCCTAGACAAGAGGTGAAAGGGTTGTTGAGCTAAAACGGTCCTTTTCAGAATTTTATTAGTGAAAATATATGGAGTGTCTAAAGCCTCTTTTGTTAGGGTTACGTGTTACTCTCCATCTCCCTCATCACCTGTCGATCAGGTCAAGGTGATTTTGAGCAAAAGGGTAATTCAAAATTATATCTGTATTTTTTAATTTATTAATTTTCATAGATTCTAATAGTGATAGCTGAAGGCCTTTATTTTGAATGTGAAGAATTTGAAATTGGTAATTAAAATAATGAGTATAATCTAGAAGGTGCGTAAGTACTTTTGTGTTCTGCTATCCGTTTGTTAAAGGTTCTACCCGTTTGACCGATGTAAGTTTTTGGGTAGTTGCCACATGTATCTTTTTCTAAAAGATCGAGGGAGACAGAGATAATAACTTATGAAAAGAGTTTAGAAACTATTAGTTGGCAACATGATATCTTGGAGTGACATGACAAAATAAAAATAATATTTCGGGATTTTTGTAATCTTTATTTATTTGTATTTCATAAATATCCGTAAAATTTTGAGTCACTTTAACATTTACAATTATTCTAATCGAGAGTACAATCTACACAGTCATAAACATTAGATCCGTTGCCTATAAACTATAATCAAATGTGATCTTAATTACATGTATATATTTCATATCACAAAGGTTGTAATACATTAATATCATAAAGGATGTAAGATTTATTTTTATTGTCAATTTTACGATGAGTGCAATCAAAATAATCAGAAAGTTTTCACTGTGAGCGTTACAAAATAAATTTATATTACAGGTGCTTGGGGACTCAATAGTTTCAACTATCTACACTGTCTTGATGAAATAAGTTTATGCTAGTTGCTTGAATTGTGAGGAAAATATTTAAATAAGGAAACGATTGGGAAAAAAAGCATTATGTTGTTTAATCTAGTTCTTAAATCATCCATCAGAAAAGTCAATGAAATTGGCCCTTTAAAGACCTCAATATATAAAAAGATATACACATTATGTAGCTGCATTAACAGGAGCAAGTGTGAAAAGAAATTGATCTTGACTCACAAGAAAGGAACCTTCAGATCAGTGAAGCAAATACCAAGTGTATGGCGGAGAAGAAGTTCACATCAAAATAAACTACTACAATTTTGGACATTTGGATGTCTTCACGTACCTGGACACAAAAATAAATCATAGCTCAAGATGGTGGGTAAAAAACAGGTCGATTTCAGGTCGAAACCTACTCGGTTATAAAGGGCGATGTCAGGATCAACTCCTCAGTATGTGCAACAGAAAGTTTTTTGTTGTTTTCTGTATATGAGAAGGGATACAATATGAACTTTTTGATTCAGATTCTTGTAAAGCTTATAGTCCAGTCGTCAGAGATATTAACCTCTACAAATCATACGAATAAATTGAATTTTACTGAGAATATCTATTAAAGATGGTACCTTAAAAAGATGCAAAAAAGTTTGCCACTTCTACCCCGGGCTTCTCCGTAAAACTCCCCCTCGTAGTGCGGAAAAGATGTTTTCTCCTCGTAGGGAGAAAATCCGAAAACATCGATTTACCAAGAATCTGTACGAAGTAGAAAAAAATGTTTCAAACAAGAAATGTAGCTGAGGTAATTTTTAACCGAAATGTTGATTAGCACTTTTTGTGTAGAATGCACCTTTCTCTCAGAAACAACGCTTGAAGCGTTGCCCGCGTTACCCGAGCGAAATAAAATTTGTATAAACGCGACGGTAACAATTCGATATCTTTTGATTGGAGTGTCCTATCAACAAAAATTAAAATGCGTTTTAAATGTGAAGAGTGTAGCTTTCGCATGCAATTTTTGCATTTTACCGCAATTTGAAGTCAGTTTTTATAAAGCTGTTTAATAAATAAACTTTGCGCTATTTTTGCCATTTTTTATGATTCTCTTGAGATCAATAAAATCGCTGTGTAACTTAAATTTTTAGAGCCTAATCTTTAAAACCTAGAACATGAAATTTAGATTTTGAGTTTTGGCAACAAATATGAGGCATTTGAAATATGCCTAAAAAACACTGAATTTAAAATTTCACCTTACAAACGATCTCACGTCACGAGAAATGCTTCCACGAAGACGGCATTGAGTGGCATTTGTAGCCGAAGTCGAGTAGTTTCGGAAAACGTGCCTGTGCAATCGAAAAGAAGTAGTTTTAAACGTTTTAGAAAGTTAACTAGAAAATATATTTCAGCTTGCAAAACGGAATGATATCAAAAATGCTTTTAGCTACAGTGCAACTAAATCCGCCTAATGTTGTAGTTGATGATTTCCGCACAAAAAATGGTTACGATTTAAATTTCATGTAAGAATCTACGAAGTGTAAAAATAGTTTTTTTTATTCAAAGTTTACATAAATGAGAAACACATGTGGTACGAGAATTTGGTAATACATTTGTCTTTGCTAACCTTGAAATTGACTATTTTTTAGATAGTAAATATAGGAATTTCCAAGTTTTTATCAGAATATTTATGACTAACTAATATAATAAATAGTAAGTAATAACGCTGCAGAGTTATATCCAACATTTGCAATTTGTGCTTCTACTTCCAATAATATATTGTCCAGTTTTTGTTCTATTACTGTATTAATACATCATTTAAAAATATTGTTTTTGTCTTTTTCATGATAAATCTGGTAGCTGCAGATAAAAAAATGCTTAAAATGGTCAACAAACAATACACGAACAGTTTTTCATTGTGAGTATGCTCATTATGATTGTAAGTTCTGTTATTTATTGAAGAAAACAAAAATTCCTCCAATCTACTCTTCTTCTTAATCTTGTATTGGCGTTTGTGTGGAATTTAGAGTCAAGAAACTACACTCTGTAGTGTTCAAAATCATCGCAGTACTACTAAATTCGAATTAAGCAAAATTTAACAACTGAAAAGTGAACAAATCTTTTAGTTTCGCATAAAAATGAAAATTTTATTTATTCTCTTCGATCTCTTCGAACTTTTATAAGCTATTCAGTATGCCCGGTTTATCCAGTTCTGGATGGTTGTTTATGGAATGGAATATTCCCATTATAAAATATCAATATTCTTTAATTCTTCTATGTTCCTTGGGAAAGGTACATGACGTCGGACTAGGACTCTAAAATCTGAATAATTATCTTATTTAGGTAATGTAACACAGGTCTTGATATGTGGCTCTGTTTTATCTTTAATAAAGATGAATGTATCCATATACATATCCCAAACGCTATAACATGGGCTTTTATACGTTTTTCCATATATAAATCTCCATTTATGGACTGCTCATGAATGGAAACTAACGCGTGCGTCAAGAAAAATTCATATCCAGAACAGAACATTTTACCTCCAGCAATAACGGTTCTTTTGGGGCGATGTTGCCATCACAAGACATTTCGATCTTCGCCTTACTCTATAGTCTATAGTAACCTTTATCTGAGTATCTGTGTCGAACCTTGATCTGTGTAGATGTGATCTTTAATAAGCAACGGCACATTAGCAGGTCTTCTGCTAGCCAACCCGGCTCCTTCTAGTCGTCTAACTGTTAAAGCAAAAATTCTGATATTTCTAACATTTTTGAATTGATTAATTCGTCTTACTCTTTACTTCTCATATTCCTATTTCTGAACACCTATTGTTGGAGAAAGCACTCATCAATTTGATTTTTCCCCTGATTCTTCTTTTTGTCCTGACTACGTTTTCTGACGTGTATTGAATGCATATCAAATGGACCAAGTAATGTACACTTCTTGCATAATAGGTAATGAGAAAATAAATTGGAAAATGTATGCGGTTGTCCTCATTTTTATACTGTAGCGGGTAGGAACTCCTTCTGGATAGTCCTGATCCCTTGTTCAGAGTCATGGATGAAGTATAGAACGGCATCCTTGGCGGAGAAAAAAGTCTTCAAAATGGTTTGGAGGGTGGAGGTGGCAACTCCGTTGCCACCTCCAAAGAACCTCCAAAGACTCCAAAGAACGGTGTCAATATATAACCACCTAAACAGCGTGTACACAGCGGCGTAGAAAACCAAGGGATTACTACTACACTATTTTCCCCAGGATTATCATTATGACTGAGGAACTAAATGATTGCTCCGAGTACGAGCACCTCATAAATGAGATAGGGGTGCGAAGAATCTTCCACTTGGCCAAATTTGATATCGAAATGAGTTATAGAATCTGCGCGGGTTATATGAACCCAGAAAAACACATGATGCAATAAATGAGATGAGAAGACTGCATATATCAATTTTGACTATCAGTGAAATGAGGTGGGCCGAATCTGGCCAAAGCAATGTGGATAATCATAAAGTTATATTATTCGTAGGATTCATAGTCTCAAGGGAGGTTAGCAAATGTGTTAGCGCTGTGTGCCAGGCATCTAAACGAGTTATAATGATTCAGTTAAACTCTAAACTCAGAAAAATAAATTCAAGACAAGTGTATGCATCGAGAGCGGAAAGTAAACTAGAAGAACTTGAAAGGTTATGTTAATTTTGTTTTTTCCTATTTTATACATATCATTTTAGAAAATCCACAGCACTTACCCCATGTAGTCATCAAAAAGTTCATTGCTTTTATTATTTTATATTAGCAAAATAAGAACGAGTGACATCACAAGATACATTTATTTCGCTCTCCTTTAAAAACAAATTTTATTAATCTCACATACCGAATATCGAAATGTCCCATAAATTTTAAAGATAATTATAGTTCGTTGCACCTTTTATTAGTAAACTAAGTACAAAAAGAAAGTAATTTAGGTTCTCATGTAAGTCTAAAGTAGAGGTGAGCTCGGGCAGTATTTTATGAGTCATGAGTTTTACAACATTTTGTTGGACAATATGAAATGTTTTTGGAACGACACTGCTATAACTGTTGTAATTATTTTCGTATCTATAGTATAAATCAATTTAGAATTCTGTGCGACTCCATTTAAATTTGTTTGTATAAGATGCTCCCGGAGATGTTGCAGTTGGTTTTACTCATACGTCCATTTTATATAGTGTAAGTTCTGTGTTTTATTAATATATTGCGATAAGAATAGCAAAGAGAATTAAAATACTAATATAAAATAATACCTCAATCAACTATTAGAGCTTATCCTCTATGTTTCGCCTAGCCCAGTATCTCAAGTGTGAATCCGTCTTGTCTTAAACTATGAATTAAACAATGAAAAGTTCGAATTAATGATATTTTGCACAAGCAAACCTTACAAGCAAATTATTGTAAGGCCTGTAGCCTTACAATAATCTGAAATGATACTTATGGCATCGATGAGTTGCTTGCTTCTGTATAGGATGTTGTTGCCTCCAGATTATGTAGGAAGGTCTTAGGTGTTTGCCCTTTTGAGTGGTCTTGAAAACAGCTGCAGTCTTAGTTGGTTGGATGTAGTTAATCCATCGTCTGATTTAATAAATTATTCCATAAACTAGAATATAACACAGGGTGTATTAGCGAGACATCAAACGGGTTAACTTCCTTACCAATTATTTTACAAAATCACAATTAAACATATAGCAGATGGCCAAAGTAAAGTGGAATAGAACTATTATTAAAATTATAACGTTGCTTTTAAAGAAGTGAGGTTATGAATATTGAAACTACTGTCAGAATTATAAAATATAGGTTATAATGAACGTACTCACACCAAGAGATTTATGCAGACCATAAAATGAACCTTATTTCATATTTACTTCTTTTATAAATTTCAACTACACACAAAAAATATCCCACCACGTTAGAAAAGCTGATTGACTAAAATAGTGGGGAGTAACTACATTGAAATATAGCACAGAAGCCATAAAACATATGTCTATGATGGAATTAGCTCTTCTGTCAAAAAAATAGAACAGAATATTTACTTTACTGGACAGAAAGAGAGAGGATGATAACAATTTTTCGAAGAAAAATAGTAAAAAAGTAACTGAAGGTTAAGGAATGAATAAATTAATAAATAAAATATTTATTTAAATATAAATTAATAAAGATGTGACGTTTATAACGTTACAATATTTCATATGAATAATTTTATTCTATTCTTTTCATTGTTTCCCATGGTTTTTGATCAGTTCGCTCCATCAATCTTCAATCTTCGTCCTAATTTTTACCTTCTTGCTCTTTTATTATTCTGGAGCATTTGATATCTTTATTCTATTTTTCTTATTTTCTCCATTTTAAAAAGTTTTTAGTTGTTTTTCTTCTTGTTTAATGGTGATTGTCTCTAACTCAAGTATCTTATCGATGTTACCAAAAACAACAGAGGTAAACAGGTTTATACATTTTTACTATTTAAATTTCTTATTAGCGTTGTTGAAATAGTTCTTTACCCTTTTTTCATTTAGACAATTTAACTGGTTAACGTGTGTAAACAAAACTTTTTTTTAATTGATCTTAATGTTACTTAAAATAGTGCATTTAAAATGTTTTTTTTTGCAATTTTCTTGACATCAAAAGCCAATGGTCTAATAGTTAGTCACTTATATAACCAGCACAAGTTATTTTTTTTTATTTGTAATAGGATTTTTTGAGGAGGTTCTATGGTTCATTGGTCTGTGCTTTATGCTATAAATGTTTACACGACAGTATCGATGATGCCATATTTTCTTCCATTAGCGAGAAAATAATTTCCCGATTAATTGACAAAGAATTGTCTTTATATTTTTGTTTTGTTCGTTCCATTTCCAAAATCCAAAATGTTCGTGATACAATAACATGGTTTAAAATCCTTATTAAGATGCTGCAATATTTTGGAAATCTGACTTACATTCAATTTTTTTCCAAACATACATATACTCTCATGTTATTCTTAAAACAATATATTCTTAAATTATATAACTAAAGATTTCTATTACAGCAACGTTAGCAAACGTTAATTTTGGGTAGTCTCAAGCTTACTGTAATATTTGTTTCTTCAGTAAGCTTTCTTAACCAACTTCTGTGGAATCAGAGAATGTAGGCGTTTGCGGTCGGTGTTTTGTAATAATACATTGTTTTCGGAGTTTATAGGCCGTTGTCTGGATTTTTTTCTTCCTGATGGTTCATTTGCAATTCCCGCAGATATCATTTTAATGTAATTCGGGAGCAGGTGTAGGTGTTAACAGTTGCTCGATCACTGATTAAACAGGCAGCTCTATTTATATGGAGTTTTAGTGTAAATGATTGAATTTGATGCATATTTAGAATGAAAATTATGTCTGAAGGGGATTTCCTTAATCAAAAAATATATATTTTTACCACGATAACTATGAAGTTAGATCAGTTTTATAATAAAAGACACATATTTATATCTTTACTTCATCTATATTTTAAGTTTTATTTGTTATGT